TTCATGAAATTTATGAAATTTCACCTTTCGGCCGAGCAATTTGCTCCATTTACATTCTTTATTAGCAGCCGAAGTTTACCAAGAGGTTGCATGCCCCAAAAAAAGGATGGAGGATGGAGGCGCCACCACCACCTGTAATTTTGTGCCTCTCGGAAAAGTTTATGGAAAAGAATTTGTGGGGGCATCGTGTGGAAAGAAACACGAAAGAGACGACAGCGAAAGTTTTTTCTGGTTTTCTTTCTTCCTGGAATTATGGAATTGGGCGAGGGGATGGTGGAATACTTTTGGAACAAAGTTTGTCAATCTTGAAGTCGTATTTCTTGAGAGAGAGGAATAGTCACTCTCACGAGCATGAGAATGGGAATAGGGATAGGAAGCAATGGATAATAGAGTAGGAAAATGTCCGTAAAGAGAACAAAAATGAGAGTGAAATGAAATGAAGATGAACAAGCAATTAATTGCAATGGAACAGGATGGAGAATAAATGGGGAATGGGGACCTCATGGGAGTGAAATGAGTACGGAACGCATGGAATGAATGCGAAAGAATACCAAGCAATTAAGGGAATACTGGGAATGAAATAAACGGTAATGTATCCTTGAAGTGAATGGAATGAAATGAAGAAAAATACACACAGATAATGAAAGAGAAGCCAAAAATATAAATCATTCCCATTGCATTACTTAATCTGAAAGAGAGCAAAGTGGCATTGGAACCAACTAAAAATGAAACGGCACATAGAACGTGTAACGGTGGATTCCTTCCTTAATTCATTCCCATTTCATACCAAATGGCGACCAAAAGTAAATCATTCCCATTGCGTTTCTTTAGCTAAAAAGGAACATCGCGGCATTGGACCAACTCAAAATAAAACGGAAGTGGAACATAGAACATGTAACGGTGGATTCCTTCTTTAATTTACAAAAAATGTACCGTGTGTTTCATTCCCATTTCGTTCCCAATGGCGACATGAAAGAGTAGGACCCTGCCTCAATATATCCCGTTTCCTCCAAATTGTTGCTCGTCGAATGACATCCCCTTGTCCCACCAATTGTGCCCCATTTTCTCCCTCTCCGTTGCTTAGACACTGCTGTATGCTGAGCGGGCACCCGCTCTCCCATCCCGCGGCACCCGTCCCATGGGGCGGACAGGGGAATTTAATAAATTCATCATCTTTCATTTAGTCAGCATCCCCCGTCCCCGGTCCCCCGTCCCGGCAGCCCTTCTCCCCGTCCGCGAACAAGTCTGTTACACTGTCCAACACAACACGAAGGAAATCTAGCATGAAGAATGGAAATCATAAAGGAACGAAACGAAACGAAACGAAAAAAAAAACGCAGACAACGCAAAAGTTTCCCCGAAAAAAAGAGCGAGCGAGAAAAAAAAGCAACAGAATCGTGACTGTCATTTCAACGAAGCGAAGTTATTTTTCATGACAAAGAGGAAAACTCCTTGCCCCTCCTTCGACTCATTTTCCTGCTCTTCCTTCCCCTTCGAATCATTCTGCAGCAGCAGAGGGGCATTGGAGGAGCAGTGGGGAGGCAGGGATAGGAGGAATTCCAGCGTTAAAATACCTTTTACTGGCACATTACCAGGGCCCCCCCACCCACCGAGCCATCGCTTTTCCTACACCGCTTTTCCCCTCACTTCCATCGTCTCTTCGCCCAAAAAAAAAGTGCAGCTCTCGCTGTTGGCTTCGCTGCGTTTTTCATGAAATTATTACGACTTTCGGGGAAAATGGGGTCGTACAAAATGTCGTTACGTTGGCGAGGAACAACGTTATAACGTGTCTCCCCTTGCCCCTTGCCCCCTGCCCCCTGCCCCCTGCCCCCTGCCGTTTGCCCCTTTACCCTTCCAGAGAGAGATAGAGAGGAGTCCAACGAGAGCGGGGAGAGAGCGACCTCTCCTCAATTTAGTTTATTGTTGAAAATCTCTTTATTTTATCTGCTCGGAAAATGTTTGGAAACTGGTTAAAGTTCGAAAGCGGAAGCATCGAATGCAAGAGAGAAACGAGACGAAAATTATTCGAAATATGTTCCAAATAAAGAATGATTTTCAAGGATGGGATGCCGTCTGGACGCACCTTCTCCTGGTTCCACTTGGATATATTTTCTACTGACAGATGGTTGCCTCTTTGATTCTCCTCGTAGATTGTGAGAGAAAGTGCTGCCCAACATTCTATATCCAAGAACCTCTTTTCGAATGTCTCTTTCTTGTGGAAATTCGTATTCTCTCGATCATTTCATGCGTGAGAACGCAGCGACAAAGAGAGATTCCCACGCATTTAGGTTTCGTTTTTCGAATAAATGATCTTGACCTGATTTTAATATTTGATCGCCTCTCTGCTTTCCTCTTTTTGAAGACAAAAAAGAGTAACAGAATGGTGATCCAGAAGGGGATCTCGGAATGGAGATGATGATTGGATCAGAGAGAGATTCGATCGTGATTTGAATGGGATCTTGAACTGATTTGATCCCCTGAAGAGACGCCACACCCTACTCCAAAAAAGAGAAGTGTCTTGCAGAGTGATCTTGATCTCAAAGATCTCTCACATCGGAGAAAAGAAGAGTGCGAGGGGAGAGGGGAGAGAGAGACCAATCGTCACCGACTGACCCACTTGATCCCCTACCATGGTCTGGTGTGGTCTGGTCTGCCACGATATCGAGTCTGCTATTCAGACATTGTCTCTTCTGTCACTGGCCGTCTAGACGGTACGCATCTGACGGATTGTGTCTGCTTTTGGCCAGATGCTAGATCTTTGTCACACACTCGCGTAAAGATCGCATTAAAAGGCCGTAAAATACAAAAAAAGAAGCAGTACTTCCGCCTGTATATGGAGTGTATATGTATCTGTGTATCTGCGTTGCGACTCTCCTTTTTCGTGCTGTCTGCTTTCTCGACATGGCCATTGCTGGCCCATCATCATCATCGCATCAGCCATCGTCTGTGTCGTTGTCGCATGATGAAGGCCATCAAAAATCTAATAAGCGTGAAATAATTGACATTTAAGGCAAAGCGCACGCACATAGACAATGAATGGACCATCCTCTTGGCCCTTCTGCCCTTCTCCACTCGCCACTCTCCACTCTCCACTCGCCACTCTCCACTTCCCACGTCCCACTCCCTTCTGCCGCTCTCCCTTCTGGCACTTCTCTGCGGTTTGTAGGCCACGAAGAGAGCGAGAGAATCATGACAGATGACCGCACGTACTTCGCGTATTTCACGTTTCCACGACTCTGAAAACAGTCGACAAGATACACTCCACTTCACTCCTCATGAAAGATTGGGAACCCGAGACCCAAAAGATACTTCTACATTGTTGCAGGCGTGCGGAGGAGGAGTGGCAGTTCACGTAGCGGGGGAGGAGATCGGCCTTCGTTTCTGGGTCATGAACCACTCACTGAACAAAAATCCCAATGAAAATATTTTAAATAATGAGTTTTTTTTTGTCGAACAGAAATCGACATAGAAAGAGAAAGACCCCATACTTCCTCTTACGCCTGCGACACCTGTGTTTCGGCCATAAAGAGGCGTGACAGTCGGTACGACGTGTTGGCAAAACGGTGAGGGAAGAAAGAGATGGTGGCTGACGAGGAGACAGAAGAGTAAGAGAAGGAAGGTCATCGGAAAGATGGGGAAATGTTTCTCAAGCGAGAAGATTTTGCTGACAGGAAGTGATCGGAAGATATCTATGAAAGATAGGTATCTATAAGAATATATAGATACTATTAATTAAATCTTAAGATACATCGATAGACAGGTGGGCAGATAAGTATCTAAAAAGAGATAGGAGACACTCACGCGGATGCACTTGTAAAGATAGAGGGATACTAAGATAGAAAAGTGATTCTAAAGATAGATCTATCAGTAGCTGTAGATGTTGATTAATATATACATTGTCTATTGAGGTACTGAGTGATTGATAACGATAGAAAGACTTTCAAGGTCTTCAAGAATGCAATCAAAAGTGGAGTACAATCAATCAAAGTCCCCCACACGGGATTCACTGAAATTCATTCGAACTCTGACTCTGACTAATTTTCAGAGAATGCATTTGTTTTATTTTTGTGCCTTCAGGGAGACACCTAATAGATATGTAAATACATTTAGACACAGGAATATGGAACGGGAAATTAGTTACCAAAACACAACGATATATTTCATGTGTATGTAATATGTATATGTAATGAATGTGGACTTCAGGAACAGGTTCGAATCTGTATCCGTGTTGATGATTCAATGATTCTGGGAGTCTCATTTTCAGGTGGTTGGACTTTTCCTGATCTGAGTCATCTTCGAATTTGAGGGCTTGACAATGGAGCACTTACGGATGAGCGGGGTATTCAGTAGTTCGTAGCAAAGCGGATGTAAATGCTCGACATTGTCACTGCTGAATGCGTCTGCCTCGTGCCTCTTGTGCTTGCGATTCACGGAATTGTGACATGCTCACACGCACATTTTCGTTACCCTGTTGGATGCGTTCGTCTGTTCTTTCTGCTCTACTATTGCGTATGTTTCTTGCTTTATTCGTTCGACGACCCAATGATCAAAATCGGTATGCAGACCTTTCACGGATACACACAAACATATTATAAAAACATACCTTGTTACGTTTACATTTTGTATAATATATTTGAACAATAGTTTACCAAGAATACTAAAATCCCAATTGAAAGAGCTGCAACGTTGTGAACCTCGGCAAGGGCCGCGGCTCTACCTTTATGCGCGGTACTCGGTCGATACATATGTGAGCTTATTATGAGCACTTATAGGCGGCAAACACGACGGACGGACCGACAGACGGCCTCCAATTATTGGGTGTAATGAATCAGACGTTCCTTCGATGGTCCGAGATATAGAAGTTTATCCGTATCACGACATAAGCTTTCCATCTACATACATATCTATTGAAATGGCAACCATCTGTATCTGTATAATTTATCCATCATCTATCAATCGCATTGCTAAGCATTGGAATTCCTTATCTGTATATTTTGCAGGACTTAAAACAGAAGCTAAAACGTTGCAGCAGGCAACCAGGCCGCCGCCGCCGCCCTTTCAATGTCCACAATTTAAATGGTGAGTGCGAAAATGGAGTGTGAAATGCATTTACTACCGAGAGAGAGAGCAGAGGCCTCACATCAGGCAAACAGAACTAAATTGCTTTCCCGCTCAGCGGGATATGTACGTAGGAGATACCCTATAGAATGGCGAGTGATGCTGATGGGGGGCTGGATTGGGTCCCCACCCAAAGCCAAAGCCTTTACCTTTTTAAACCAAAATGAATGTCTATAAAACGGGCCGCCCGCTGAGTGCAGGAGCAGGAGTGCTGGAGGAGGGGCAGTAAAATGCAAATAGATGCCGCATCCTACACTGTCTACGAAAAAATGTATCTCATGCTGACTGGCTGCAACGTCATCGGCAGCACAGAACAGCAGAGGCATCAATGGGAATACCATTGGGGAGGGCGGGGGGTATTGCTGGAAACGATGGCACATGCCACACGGCAGTTGACCAGCGGCCATGGAATGTGCGGCACAACCTCATCATCATCATTGCCATCGTCATCGTCATCGTCAGCGCTGTGGGGGCCTCATCTTTTGCCTCATTGTGAAAGCAACGGAAGGGGAATTATTGTATTTTCACCATTTAACAAGCAAATGACAACGCCCCTCCTCTTTGGGAAGCCTCTCGTCACGTGCGGCGAGAGGAGATGACACTTTAAAAGGGAGAAGAGTCTGATTTGGGCTTGTGCAAAGGATCAAATATAAGTCACAGCAAGGAGTCTGTCTGCCACAGCAAGGAGCTGTCTTATTTCTTGCTGATTGAGTGAATTCAAGAAGAAGACAATCAAACGAAGAAGCAATGTTCGTGGTCACCATTTACCTTCCACAGGAAGGTTTGGGGTCACCACACGACGCAGCCGTGATCGTGGTCACCGAAACGAGACTCTTTCAGTAATAGATAATCGGAGATCGGGGACCGGGGCTACTGTTGTATGGAAAAGTAATCCAAGGGTATAATATCGGGGTCACCATTATGAAAATATGAATTAAAAGTGGATGGAGAATGAATGGAGAATCGAGGACACCATATTCCCCTTCAAGAGAACTATTTCATTCCATTTGAAGTCACTGTTCCTTCGTAGCGTCTGGACCCCCCGTTCATACCCAATCTCTTGGTTATTGGCTCCTTGGCCCCTTGGTCCAGAGCCATAACATTGACCAAATATTGCCACAAGTTGCCTGACGTCGCCCCATCGTTACATCGCTACATCCCTGCATCGCCGGCTGCCTCTCATTCTTCCTTGTGTCTTTTGTGATGAAAGCAAGCTGTACAATTATTTGCACAACTAATAATTCACTTTAGTGTCTCGTTCAGAGGCAAATATTGAAGGAGCATACGATACAAAGAGCGAGGGAGCTGCGAGCACAGAAACAGACATTTGCAGTTGTCATTAACAAGGGGTTTGTCGATAGATAGATAGATAGATAGAATCGAAGATAGACCCGAAGAAACAAAAAAAGGGGTAAGCAGGGGATCGCATGCCTTGCTGTCATGCCTCAATGCTCGCGGTGGCCTCTGTCCCTCGCAAAATGTCAACAGAATGTCTGTCTGTCTAAGTAGCTTACGTTTTAGGTTTATTTTAGCGTAACTTTAATGCTTTTCGTACTTCTAATTTGGCCAACAATTCAGACGACGACGGAGCGTGGCCTTGAGAGCCTGAGGCTATGGGGCTATGGGGCTAAGGGGTCTCTAGCGATTGATTCCCACAATGACTCGAGCAAAACGACCGGCCTTTGTTTGCGAGCTAATTGCTGCTGCTTGAATCGAAGGTACGAGCATTCGTATCTGTAGTTGGAGTATTACGCCGGATGAAGATAGATAGATAGATAGATCTGCGAAATATACTTGAAATGACAGCCAAAACCAAGTCCAAAGTCTCGTTCTTTTCGGGGGAGACTGAACTTGACATTGGAGGGGCATGGGACCACACTCTTCGCTGCTGTCACTGTCACTGTCACTGTCACTGCCGCTGCTGTGGCGCGTCGCTTCCTAATTACTTCAATATCTGGAGCTTCAACTCTCGACTTCAACCGAAAGTTGTAGCAACGTCGCGTCGTTGGCGTCATTCACCTTCAAAATCATGTCGCGCCGCGTCGCGTCGCGTCTTGCCGTTTATTGAAGCGGAAAAACCAGTAATTAAATGTCTCTCTTTCTTTTCACTTTGTTCCCCTCCGAAAATCAGACAATTTTGCACGCGTCGTCGACTCCGCAGCACCAGAGTCGTCTCTGGCGTCCCTGGCGTCTCTGTCGTCTCTCTGTCACACAGTCACAGCCATTCGACCAATTTGTAATTGAAACTTTCATTTTCATTTACATTTACATTTTCTTTGGCCCCTTGATTCGTGGAAATACAGAGAAACAGAGACAGAGATACACATAGCGGGAGAGCGAAGGAGAAAGAGAAAAAAAGACCTGACTTTGCCACAGCAATGTTGCAACATGAATGGAGGTAACACCATGCCACTCCACCACTCCACTCCATCTTTTCATTTTGATACGTTTTATTGACACGATGAAAATCTGCGGCATTAGATGTAAATTTTCAAAGCGGCAATCATGTTGCAATTGTTGCAACAAAAGAGGCGACACAGCGAGCGAGCGGGGCAGAGACGAGTGCGTTTCCGTCACGAAACTGTAGAAAAATGTACGTGGAAATTGATGTGGAAGTCCCCCCCCCCCCCCCACCTCCCCCGTCAAACGATGGCACCTTGGATGGACTTGGATGTCGACTGTGGATTACATGCGATTTATGGCTCAATTCCAGGATATGTAGAGGCTTATCTTCGATTGATGGTTTATTCAGGAATAAAATCCTATGATAAGGAACCGCTAAAGTGAACCGAACCCCAAATGATACAAGCCATCTGCTTTGCGTTTGGCTGTGAAAAATAACTTCATATTTGCATATACCTATCCGAAAAGCATACAAGACACGAGCCAAAGATACAATTCAACGTTTTCTTTGAGGCACAAGCAGGTGAAATGCTTGGCTATCCAAATATCCCCTACAAGATGCCTCTGAAACCTTTGCATTTCCCTCGAGGATTCATTTCTCCTGCAATAAATCATGAAATCTTAAGATAAAGTACCTCGTATCTGTGTCGGGCAATGTCCAAAGTGGCAACGTATTCTTCGAGGAATTATCTTCGAATGCAGCCAGGATTAAAGGATTCCAAGATCAGGACTTGCGGACTGGCTTCCACCCCCACCTAAGACTCTAATTGAAAGGACTTTTCATTTCCAATTCAATGTGTGCTTAAAAGTATCTCAAAGATACACACAAAATGGCTAGAATATTCGCTGGAAATGTGATTGCATGACACACTCTTTTGTGCTACTGTTCCGTTCCGTTCCGTTCCGTTCGGTTCCGTTCTGTTCCCACGCTTGGGATTCCCATATCGAATCAGTCATTCGGTTGCATGTTGCTAAGGTTCTTTTGCGATGCCACATGCCCCACCCACTGCTCCTCCTCTCTGTGCTTAAGTGAGTTAAACAAATTGGTTTGAAACCCGATGACAGCTCCGTCACATTTGCTTCCGCTGCACACGCTGTCGCCCGTTGGCGCCCCAGACGGAGGTGCAACCTGTGTGTGGCGTCGCGGCGTGGAGGGGTGTCTAATTAATGACATGCGATCCTAATGAATGGCAGCTCCTCCGCCTCTGCTCCTCTTCAGCGCTGGCTTTCGTCTCCCTCTGTCGGCTGCAACCTGAGCGAATCAATGGCTTGGCTTAAACAAATGATGAAATACGATATTTGTCCTCGTCGAAAGGTACCGTTCTTTATACCCTTACCTCTGGAGGGGAATGTGCGCACTTGCCAGCGCTTCGAGAGGGTTCTCTTCGTGGAGGAGCACGCCCACTGATGGGCGGAAAATCATGGCGTTTCGTTGTATCTTTTCGCTGGAAATATCATTATTTCAAAAGTTGTGCCTCGACAAAAACGTTGCTTAGCCTTGCCAAAGGGCATCAGAGACGGATGCCTCGATAAAGGCGTTTTTCGCGTTTTCGGAACATTGTGCCTAGAGAAAAACGCTTCGTTCTATGTTGTTTTACTGCCTCGTGAGAGCAGTGGATCTTCGACACTTGGGAAACCCTTGGAACTTGTTCCTTGTGTTGCAAGGGGAACCCGAGACGCCTTCGCCGCTAACGGTGGTTGCAAGTGCCACAAAGTGCAACAAAGGAGAGAGAGAGAGAAAACAGGTGCGAGAGTTGCTTGTGGGCTTTCGTGGGTGCGGATGGGGAGGGAGGCACACGATAAATTACGCATACGCCGCATAAGCCAACGAACGAATGAACGAACGACAGCCACAGCTACAGCGACAGAAGCAGCAAAAAAAGATTGCCTGTAAATGAACAAAAAATAATTAAAAATGCATTTTTCATTAAGGCATTAAAATGCAAACACGACAGAGAGGGAAGGAGATGGAGAGATAGTGAGAGAGACGGACAGAGGGACAGAGCGACAGAGCGAGAGCGGTGGAAACGGCCATTCATTTATTTCATTTATCGCACGGATTGCCCCCGTGGACTGCGGCCCGCCACTTCATTGATTACAATGCCAGAGTCGACTGTCGTTGGATGTCGTGATGTCGGCTGTTGGATGCCTAGAGATGGCCCCCAGGAACCAGCGGCAGCAGCAGCAGGAGTAGCAGTCGTGACTCCCAAAGTATCAGCCTCAGCCATGAACATGTGTAGAGCGGAATTTTCTTAAGAAATAAAGGAATATCGTCAGTGAGAGCCACCTATATTCCGTTCACTCTCCTTACTGGAGTAGCATTTTTACAGCAAAGAGAATGCATTGCTCCTTGCCGCCAACAGGACCCCAAGTCCCTACCCCTAAATTATAGTATTTACTTCTGTGAAAAGGGCCAGGAATCAGGATATTCCCAAATGAAAGAGGAGGCTGCCTGGAAAGCCAAATTTTGATTGGAAAGCCTTGTTTTGAGCGAAATAATTATCCAAATAAAGATGATTTCTACAGGGAAGAAAATACAATATAAAAGGTGTTACCAA